ATATACTTGATGACTAATCTATCTTTTCTCATTAGTCAATTTTAACATGTTAACATATCAGTTTCTTCTAATCAAAAGGATTGCAACAGAATTTTTCATCCAAAGTAAAGAAATTAATAGTATAAACAAAAAAATATCAGCCACATGCTCTTGAGAAGTCTTATCTTTTTCAAAAATTCATTTTTTTCCTTAGAAAGTTATGAAATGCAAAGCAATATTTGCCAAGTTTTCTCATTCAAGTCATATTCTATTTGATATCCAATTCTATAGTGTGTGTGTTTTACATATTTGTTATATTTTTTGAACATCATTAATAAATATTCTATAAACTTTTTTGTATTTTGTGGGAGAAGTCATAGCGATCAGCCAAACTGACTAGTTTTGAGACTGAAACTGAATAATTTACAACAATAAAAACCTACTCTGTATCTTCTTATTTCATTTGATAAGACAGAAATAGAAAAAGAACGCAGCTCAATAAGGAATTGTTTTTTTTTTGCATTTAGCAATGTCTGACTTAATGTATGTCCTTTTTCATGAAAATTTATTTCTGACATCACTCGGCGAAAGATTTCGTTAGAACGCTGTCACTTCGTTTCAGTCATGGGGATATTGACAATATTAACTGTACCAATATTATCTCATATCTAAGAATATTTCTCCTTCAATATTTAGGATAAATAAAATATCTGCAAAATGTTAAGCGCAAACAAATTTTTTTTATTGAATTCATTTCCTTCATAAAATGTTAGTAGGAAAATTCAAGAAGATATGATCTGCAGAATTAGCACAGTATATGATAATTTTAAGTAAATATATTGAGAATATGACATTCCCTAAATACTGTTCAAGCATTTTGAACATTAGAAAAATAAGATTGACTTTCCCTGAAGTGGCATCGAATCATTTTCAAACAACAGAAATTCGAAAATTGCCCTCTACATTTCAACCGATCATAGTCCAAAAGAAAATAAACATAACAATGAAATGGTTTTAATTAATTGGCACTCTTATTTATCGTCATTTTTTCACTAATTAGGGAAGGATGCCCCAAGTGTGAGTCTCAGTTTTGAATGAAAGATACTTAAGGTTTAAATGATCATATTAAAGCATAGACAGAGCCATATGTTATTGTCTATTATTATGTTATTCTAAACTAATAGAAGAACAGTATCCCCTTGTGAAATTCAGTTCCATCATTGCTATGAACATTAATTATAAAATTATCACACGTGGATGTACATTAGCGTTCTTGAGACATAATTTTGCGATGCATCCTGACGTCGCAGCTTCATTGGCCCTAATACTAAAATTATAATAGACTATCAGATGTAATTGTGTCTATGTTTTAACATGATCATTTAAACATTAAGTACCTTTCAAGTCTCCCATTGTTAACAACTGTCTCGAAATTTATCTCAGACAAAGTAATCCACAAGTAAAATCGATCTCTTTCCCCTAATTTGAAGCTATATTTGGAAAAAAACGGAATACATTATGAGAATCAGCTTGTCGAGCTCTACAAACAAATATATCTTTCACTCAAAACTGAAATTCATACTTGAGAATTTTCTTTTGTCCGGCAATCACTACATTGTACCTTTGCAACAACAAAATCAGAGACAGTGGCGCACACAATCTCGCAGAAACACTTAAAAATAGCAGAGTGAATTTAATTGATTTTCTGTGTATTTTTGTCTCATATTTGTTTTTTTTCTTTACAGACACTGAAGATATTATACCTCCCTAATACTATCACTGCTTATGTGAAAACTCGCTTCAAACAACAGGACAGTCGATTGAATTTTGATTATTGATTTATTTTATTTTTTGTATCAAGTAAATAAAATAAATTTTGATTGATTGATATAGCGTGTGGGTTGATGTGATTTGGGGCTATAGGTGTGAACGAAGCTTACCAATACCCATACCACACCTGGTTTCTTTCGAAAATGTACGGAACAATTAGATATAGAAGTCTAATTTATGATCTAGATCATTAGAACAGAGTCTATACCTAAATAAATCAAGCTGTGTGATGAGACCATTCAGCAAGATCGAAATCGCGATCACGGTTAGGTTCAAAATATACCCACACTAAATCTTCTGCTCGGTACTTACGGTGGTCAAACATCGACAAGTGACAGAGCACCACCAACCGTAGCTGGTAGTTACAGATTTTTCGAATTATTTTGTGATTCGTTTATTCCACAGAATTTATCTTGAACTTTCGTTGAATTCAGTTATGATTGTAGCTGTCGAAAGCCTTTATTCATGTTCAGACGAGATTAAAACGTAACATCAATACGATAACTATAATCAATTGCTTTATCCAGTTCATACCAAAATGGTAAAGGTTGATAATGATCCATGCTGTCATCAGTCATGTGATTCAATTCAAAATACCAACATATTTAGTTACAAAAAAAGATCAGTCAAGCTGTTTCCTACGCAATTGAAAGTTTTGCTCGAAACTTAGACTTGAAATCATGGTTGCATTCATGAATAAAGATACTATGTAAATCGATTTTGGATGATTAGCATACAAAAAACGACCCTTCTCAATATGATTGATAGTACATTAATGTTATTGGATTATATATGACTCGAATGACGCCTAAATAAGAAAATCTGATCAGCTGTTTATTCAAAAATGTTTCTATTTCGTCGAACTACTTGCTTTTCTGAACTGATTTTTTGTATCTTTCAAACAGATTATTTCGTTCAAATTTTTTAAAAAACTTACATTCCCATACATTCGCCATAGAGAATAGCGTCTATGCGTTGGGTTTAGCAACGAAATCAAACATTTACGTATGTCTATTATAGCCAAAGCTCAGTCACGAAAAATTTTATTAATTTAGTTGATTCATACTTTAATTACGCTTTCCTCTTCATTATTGTTCTGGATTAAGCTAAAGCTTCGATTCATAGTTATCACATACCTGAATAAAAGAATCAATAAGTGGTACAAGTACAGCAAATAAACATCTTCTACTTGTTTTAATTCTGGACCTAACTTTATATTTGAATACCTATGCTAAGTTTTTCAAGATCATCTAACAAAAAAGTAAGATAAAAGCAGAGGATGTAGGTGTGGGTGGTGTGAGATGAAGACCAAATCCACACCCACCTTTGGATTCACTTATTAGTTGAGTTCAAATAATCTTTATTAAGATAATTGGTTTGTGCTTCAATGCTGCAAAGAAAAGCTTAAATCATGTCTATATTTTCCCTTACCATACTATCCTAAAATTTGGTGTAACTTAGAGAAAAAAAAATATTAGTAAAAAGCGTGATAGTGATCTTATTTGTGATGAAAAATTAAATAACCCTAACAAGCGCTATCTTATTGAATTATATATAGGAAGATGCCGTTTTTCACGGGCTTTCTTTTAGTGCTATAAGATTTCTGGGGAAGAACTGCCTTGATAAACTTTTAAGGCAAAAAAATTCTAAAAAATGGTCATTTTTGTCTATTTTTTGAGTAAAAACAAACATATGAGAGACCTTTTAGACACGATTTTTATTGGAAATTCTTGTTCTATGATATTGCATCTAATAGATCTAATCAAGATACGTTATTTGATACCAAAAAATTGGGATCTTCAATAGTAATATATGTTGTCCCAGAGTATTAAACAGAATTCTCTGCAATTCACCAAAATTTTTCAAATAAGACCCGAGGGTGATTTCAAAGATACCTTCATATCTCATGATGGAGTTTTCACAAAGAGCTAAAATTTGGTTCTAAGCCTAACTTTTCACGCTCTTTCGAATGGTTTAACTCATTTCAAAATAAAAAAATTTTTCAAATGCCGATATCTGATATATTTGGTCGATTTTCTCATGGACCGTTTCTTAAATAATAAGACAATGATTAATACTCATGAAGACAGGAATGGCGATGAAGAAATCACATAAATAAGAGAACTTTCTTATCATTTAATTCAGTTCAATCTATTTTAATCAATAAATTTTTGTTTATAAAGAAACCTAATGAAAAATGGTATTTATTCATCTCAAATCACCTATCAAATACACAAAAGACTATTTTTATTAATAAAACCTCTTTTGAAATCATGTCACCTTTTACAGTTTATCCAAAAGCAATAGAATTATTGCAAACTATACAAGGTCGAATTCTCCAATAGGTTGATGTAGCAAATCTTAAACTGATAATAGTGCAATATTGAATCGAATTGTAAAAATAACTGAGCATCTCTTAATTGATCTACCTTAAAGAATTTCATTACTTTTATTCACCATTCTTTACCTCTATCACTTAGCGTGACCTTTTCTTTCATTAAACGGTTGTGACAAAGTATTGTCGAGAAAACCCCTCTTAAAAGGATTCCGCAGGACTAGAAAAAAAATTACTGTGTCTCATCCCACATCCGCAACTTTTCAATTCCGTCCCATCTCGTCCTGCCATTTTTTCAAAAAAAATATCGTACCACGTTCCGCGGAGTTCTGATACCGAAACAGCTAAATCATTGCAAACTATCCATTTTGTTGATTATATATAATTTGTGTTGAATTAGCGGTACTAGTACACTTCGTCGCACGACACTTCGTCGCACGACACTTCGTCGCAATCACTTCGTCGCACGATCACTTCGTCGCAATACATTTTGTCGCGTTCTGTTCGTCGCAGAACAATCATTCTCATTGTTCGTCGCAGAACAATCGCTCACGTTGTTCGTCGCATATATTTTCTCTCGTTCATCCTCGCTATAGAAAATTATCTTTCGCTATTTTCATCCCTATCTATTCAATATATCTCTTAATTAGCTTTTTTTTAAATGAAATTGATCAATAAATTCATCTTTATTTTGAACATAATACATAAGATAATGATGAACAAATTGACAACAAAAAAAAACCAAAAAAAAAGAAAAAAACCAAAAAAAACGAAAACAAAAAAAGAACGCCTAGAGAACAGGAGAAAATCTAAATAAAAAAAGAGAACCGATCAGAGAAGGAAAAAAGAAACTTACCTAAAGAGTAATGTTGGCGGCGATGTTCTTCAAAAATTGGTCCAGGTCAGATGGGTCGAACGCGTTGACAAGCCGAGTAATACGTTCGTCCAATTGTCGATAGCAGACCTTCTTCGTCTTGATATCATGTCCTTGAAGAATCTTCGCCATGTCCACTTCGAATTTCGATTGTTCACGACGAATTTTTTCTGCCAATTTCACGATATCAGGATGATTGATTGCAACACGATTGGCGAATGCATTGTGCCAGCCTTCTACCGAGTTATTAGATCGAGGTACACCAGCAACAACACGATCATAAATATTCCATAATGTGTGATCGAATTTAGGCTTCTTGCGACCAGCCCCTAAAATAATACAGTATATTTTTAATTAGACAAGAATGAAAAAAATTACCTCTTCTTTTTCGTTCGCCAATCCATGTTCTTTCAAAATAATCAAGCAAATCGTCAGCTTCATCGTCGAATTGTTCGGCAATTAATTCGTAGCCATTTGTAACTTTATCTAAAGGAAGAAAAGCAAGAGCAATCAATTTTTTTACATTTAAACGAAAACACTCATCCTCGTTGTATCTTGATGCCATTCCTTTGTTTTGAACTTGTCGCCATACCGCTTGAGAGAAATGAAAAAGACAACCTATAATAGAAATGTTAATTAGTTTTTTTGTGAATCAATTAGAATTAGAACACACCTTTGTGTATAACGTTTGGTAACATTTCTTTGACTGATTTGATTGTGCCGGTTTCAAAATCAGTCATAATTGATTCAGGTTGGAAGTTGTCTTGTTGTAATATTTTTTCGAAGAATGAGTTGTAATCTACGTCGCTTTTACCAATCAATAAGCCATAGACGAGAGGAATAACTGCATTGTTCATCATTGCATGCAATGTAAATAATTGGTAATAATCGTCTGGACATACCTGCATCAAAGAAATGAGAAAAAAAAGATACACTTAATTGATCACTTACTTTGAATGTTCCATCAGCAAACCAATGTTTGTGGCGCTTTAAGATGGATAAGTTCGTTTTTGTTGTAAAGATAATCAAATTTTCATCTTCATGCAAAATAAAATCTTCATCGCGATATGTCTTTCTTAATTTTTCTGGTAAACGACCATCAGCATCAACTTTTCCAACAGTACGTTGTCGTCGTATCATTAACATAAGAGATTCATTTCGTGGAAGTTCACCAGCAGCACTGAGTGGAAATGTACGTAAAGCTGAATGAAGAATTGTACTTGTTGATTCATCTGTTGTTGTGGCACGAGCTTTAATTTCATTTTTTAATTGAACAACTGGAACACGATCAGGTTGTGGAGCATGGGAGTGTGATGTTGGTGGAGAAATGAATGCGTCCATGGATAAATTGGTGTGACAACGAGCTAAATTGGTAAATGATTTTCTTTGAACTTAATCAATCAATTTTCAATATAGCCTTACCTTTACAATCTCGATTTTGACATCGCATAATTAATTTTGTTGTTGAAGTGCGTTCTACTGTGTAGATATATCCTTCATAAAGGATCATTGGTTTTCCTTTTACCGAAACAAGTTTTTCGATTTGAGACATGTTGAGTAAGAGTAGGATGAGATAAGTTGTGTTTGAGAAATTAAATGTATTCATTTATATTACTTAGTCTCAAAATTGAATACATTGGATCAATGTTATATTTAGTCTAGATTATACATAAGTTCATTAACTTAATGACAAATCTAATTATTCTTTCTTGACTTTAGTTCTATCAATATTGCATATGTTATATTTTTTTTATTAATATATTTTTCAATTAAAGTGATACATGTGCGTTTAAAACAGCCAATTATCTATCATCATTGTGCATTTAATTGATATTTTTTTCATTTATTTTTTTTATTTCATTCAATTTCATTGGCTATACATATTAAAAAAATTAATTAAGAGGGATGCAACAAGTAGACAGCGAGAAATAAAACGAAAGAAATTGTTCTGTGACGAACAACGAGAATGATTGTTCTGCGACGAACAGAACGCGACAAAATGTATTGCGACGAAGTGATCGTGCGACGAAGTGATTGCGACGAAGTGATCGCGACGAAGTGTCGTGCGACGAAGTGAACGGTCACCATTGATACATTCGTCTGTTAAATAAACAATAATATTGGATGCGAATGAAGTTAAACATGATTAACAAGATATCCCGAGCGATCGGTTGTCAATACCGATCCTATCTCTGTGTCAAGCAGTTTTGTACGTTTTCCACTCGATATCTCTGTTTGCTTTTATCTATTGTTGGCAAAAATCTTCTGATATTTTCAACATAATAGTTGTAAGTAGATTAGTGCATAATCTCCACTTTTCGAACTCCCATCTGATCCGACATTATCTACTTCAATCCAAGCCTGAAAACCTTGAAATCAATTTCACCGACAGAGTCAAAGATTTACAAAACTATGGTGGCGAAAGTTGTGCAATTCCCATAATAAATATTTCAAGAATAAGATATAACTGACGAGGGAAGGTCCCCAAGTGTGAGTCTCAGTTTTCAATGGGGTATATACCAGTTTGTGGAGCTCGACGAGCTGATTCTCGTGGTATGCTCGGGTTTTGCCCATAGACTTTCAAATAAGAAAAACTAATCGATTTTAATAGTGAATCTCTTCACTTGGGATAAGTTTTGAGACATTTGTTCGGAATTTAGGACTTTAAGAGTATTTGAAGTTTGAATCGTCATATTGAAACATATACACCGTCACATGGGACATATCTGGGTCTCTTCAATCAAATGTGCTTCGCGACTTATTACTTTTATTACGTCATGGAATAATGCTGTACTAAACAAATAAGATAAAGAGGGCTCTTTTCGTTCTTTTGTTATGTACTCACGATACACATCTCTTGTTTTCTCGTTCTTTCTAGTACATTCTACTTGATTCTCTCTCTCTTTCTTTTCTTTGCTTTTTATCTGTTAAAATATTTATATCATTTTCTAACATATTCGAGTGAATTCTTTTACTTTCCTCTAAATTTGTATATATATATAGATCTGCCATTTAGAAAATAGTATATGATATAACTTTTGATCAATATTCTTTCAAGTTTCACTATATCAATACCTATTTCTCTATGACGAACGCTGTTAACATAGGTAAATTTATATATGAAAGGCATTAGAAAGATCAGGTGTCTGTTCAACAAGTATCACAGAAGAAGAAATATCGATCGCAACCAATCTACTCGCTCTATTAGAAGATCTGTCCAACAGTGACAAATTTACAATAGAATTAGAAGATTCTCTCGAATTTTCTGACGTCGGCGATTTTGATCCGGACTACCGTATCGAAAGCGAAGATGATGAAGAACAAGAAGTAGCTGGAAATCGCCAGTTTAGTTTGGAGTACATGCAAAAGGTTGTCGATTTTGCTCATCCAGGTGTTGCTTTCACAACTGTTCAGCATGCTTGTCGACGAGTTACACATCCTATGCAACTAAAGAGATTCCGAGAATATGTTGCCAACAACGGAAATCGCCGGCAAAAACTAAACCGTATAGAGGATTTTGTACTTGGAAGGTTTCGATTTGCTCGTGATAACAATTTACCTGTGCACGACATGGACGTGCGGAGATGGGCTTTATCTCAAGCAAAAATGGAAAATATAGATGATTTTACAGCTAGTCATCACTGGCTTCTCAACTTCAAGCAACGCAACGGTATTTGTTCCAGAAAGGTGACAAAATTCATTTCTCACCGGGAAGCTGTTGATAAATCTATAATTAAAAAGAGTGCTGACGACTTTGTTGCCGAAGCAACCAAACATATACCAAAATATAAGCTTGATTTTGTGCTTAATGCAGATCAATCCAGTTTTAATTATGAAATAGCTTCGAACCGCACGTTATCTTACGTAGGAGAAAAAACGACTTATCTATCAGTAAAATCTTTGAATGCTGTAACCCACCCCTACACAGTGATGCCGATTATTAGTGCAGCTGGTCAACTACTCAGTCCTGTTTTTCTTTGTCTTCAGGAACCCACCGGTCGATTTCCAATTACAAAAGCGATCTTTTCAGCACCAAATGTAGTAACAAGTTGCAGTAAATCTGGAAAATTAAATACGTCCCTGATAGAATACTGGATTCGAGAAGTTTTAGATAAAGTGGTCAGCAATCGGTTTCTTCTTTTTGTCGATCAATGGTCGCCACAGGTTGACATTACGACATATGAAAACAATCTAACACAAGGACAGTCGTGTAAATTATTGGTGATACCTAGAAGAACAACACAAACTAAACAACCATGTGATGCTTATTTTTTCCGGCAATGGAAAGAGTTAACAAAGAGAATATATCATCGTGTGTCTTTAGATGAATTAGATATTGACTTAAGAAGTCGTGATGCTATCATCAAGTTACAAAGCCTGGTTCATAATCAATTGAGTTCTTCTATATTCAAACCAATGATTTCATATGCGTGGTCCACTTGTGGCTATATTCCGAAACAATATCCTGATTTCTTGAGCGTTATAGAAGTTTGTTTTTCTTTTGATGCAGATAGTTGCTCAAATAGTAATTGTGACAAGAGCGCATTCATTTGTTGTAGTTATTGTCGACGAATACTGTGTTTCGATCATTTTTTTTGTTGTGTATCATTTTCATTGATTCTGTTCTCGATATATTTTCCGAATAAAGCGAATGGAACAATAAATAGATAGTCTATGTAACTCCAAACATGAAAATCATAATGTTTAAACTTCGGAATGTAGGAAATAGTTTTATTATAGAACTTGTATTCTTCAAACTGTATCATATAAATAATTTTACCGCGCAAAAAATAACATCGAAATATGAAAAGTAACGCATCTTTAAATAGTTTTTAATCTAATATGTGAGAATAAGCGGCTCCAAGTATCACAATCAGTCTTTAAACTTGCTTTTTACTGAGAATATTATGGTTAAAGTTCTGATATTTCTACCGTTATCCTGCTTAAATAATCCCTGTCAATTTTCTTATTTGAAAGCCTATGGGCAAAAGCGAAACATACCATGAGAATCAGCTCCTCGAGCTCTACAAACTGATATATATCCCGTTGAAAACTGAGACTCACACTTGGGGACTTTCCCTCGTTAGTAGACAATAGGTTTTAGTGAAAACTATATGGATCTGTAGAGCATGAGATAGCGTAGTTTTTTTTATCATAACCGTATTTAGCACTAATTTCACATTTGGGTTCAATAACATCTTACAGAAATATAAAAACTCACGAATAGTATAGGTAAACGGTATTTTTGAGTTGATCCCATCCAATATAAATTCCATATAACTTGAGAAGAAAGATGTTCAAAAAGACGCGTATTATGTAATTTTGTCGAGCGTGAAAATCTGTATCGATCCATGCTATTAGATTTCAAATGCAAATGATAGGAGGAAAAAATTATAGAGATAATAATTATCATCTAAAATACTGAAAATCTATAAATGACTCATAGATCCCAACATTCAGTTGCCTTTGAAAAGTTTCTTGTGTTCAATAAAAGAAAAATATATAGAAATTTGTAGAATTTATAGTTTTATTTTCTATCATATTGAAAATGTAAAGTAAAGGGTAGCAACGTTACGACCTCATCTAACCGTTCTCTTTAATATGAAAAATAGTATTTGCGATTTTTTCATTCGTTCAGTTTTTCGACGTTTATGACCTACTTCTTTTTCTTACTTATTGATTTGTGAAAAAAGTCTTATAATTAAATCTTTTAATGATGTTCAAAATAACTATTTATTTCTGTAGAAAATAAAATAGATTTAAAATCCTGATGACGGTCGAGCTGTTCATGCTAGCTCCAGCAGAAAAGGTTTCGAGCAGAGAAATTAACAAAAGTAGACGATTGAGTGGAAACAATGTACAATAAATCATCTATTTTTGCCGTTTTTTATCGAAAATCCTATACATTAGCCAAACTTGATCCTCTAAGGATTCCTATTTTTTTAAAAACTCGTAATCGGAGGCCAGATTTAACCATAATATATTAGTTTGCTTAATTTGATATAAAATATTAATCATATTTAGAGTATTGTTGTGGTATAGTCATTTAATTCATTCAACATGAAGTATTTATGATTTTAATTAGCCATTCAAAGCTACTATATATTGTAGTTACTATTCCGTCATCGTTCTGCAATACAGATACCATATTCCGATAACTAAGTTCCATAGATTTAATTACTTCAAACGCATTATTACATGGTTTGTGCCTTTTTCACTGTTATTTAATTATTTTTTTATGCAATTATAGGACTATTATTTTAAAATATCTGTTCCGAGTAACACTATCTTCAAATATGAAAGAATGATATTAGCTTAAATCATACTCATCCTCACCTATAACTGATATACAACTTCCAGCATACATTGAATTTATTGAAATTACGCCTGATCATTGCATTTATATGCCACAATTGATTTGATTTACTTCATGATTTATTATTGATGTATCTGAGCCTTATTATATATGTATTTCGTTCAATGGATTATTTTAAATAATTAGTTGTAATTTATCTCTTATTAAGCTTTTAAACGTCACATAGCATAGAGATTTAATCTTAATCTATTACTCATCAAAAATAATTAGTTGATAAGAGACAGTCATAGATGAAATCGTCAATACTCTGAGACTTGATAACTTTTTCTGTTCAGTTATATGATTAATAAATCATCAGAATATATTCTTCGACATAATTATTCCTTCGAAATATCTGTCTGTTACTTCGCCAATTCAACTTAAAAAGATATGATTATTGTTCATTCAACGATTATGGCTCAAAATTTTAATACTTGTTTTGAATTCGAATAAAACATTAAAAAGTCAATATGATGTAAACAATTTGGAAATGAGACGTATCATTATTGGTGTAAATTTTTCATATATAGGGTTGAGTTTATTTCTATAACATATTGAAATTGTTAAGAGTTAATAGATTTGATTAATTGAATTATATTTCAATTATTATATTCAACCATAGTCAACAGATCCCATTAAAAAATAAACCTTCTTTAATACTAATATCTTTAATCCATTTACTTCTAATTATTCATTTTTCTTTCAAAATTTTTGTTTGTTTGTTTTGATTATCCTTAAAAATATAATGCAGAGTCTTGATAAGTGTCTCAATATACTAATAAATAACATGAAATACGTCGGCGAAATTAACTCGACATTGTTTTTAAATTGTTTTAGTTCGAGCACACTTGACTGTTATTATTATTCTATCGTTTCTTTCTTTTCGATTTCCTCGATGATTGAAAACCAAGAATTGAGAGGGACAGATTGATTTGTATGATAGACATGCAGATCGATCTGTTTTCTAATTGATTTAAACATATGCAAATGACACACTCGTACTTAATGTTTGTTGTTAGTGGAATATTTCAGCTCTCTATGATCCTAGTTGTTCTGTTCAATAAGCATTCCCTCTTCGTTTTATTAACTTAGTTATCAATACGTCTATCTTTGCTCAGAAAAGAAATAAAGAAGTTTCTATCATGTGTTAAGTAAATTACTCTATTTCTCTTCATCTGTTCTTTTCGATTCATGTTTATGTGGATTTGTCCAGTAAGAGATTCAGTCTATTGTCCATAGCCTTTACTGTGCCCTTCATATTTTTGAGCATTTGTTCGACGTAATCCATTTTTGATGTCATGGAAGTCAGCTTCGCTTCCATTTCTATGTTTTTTGTGCTTGTCTCACGATGGGCAATCATCAATTCAGCAAGACCAATAACATTATCTGCTAAGTTTCGTTGTGCTCGTTTGATTTGTTTCATAGAAGATACTTCTGCAAACAATTTTCGTTGAGTATTTACATATTCAATGGATCGCTGCATGCCCATTCCATTCAGTCGCCAACTTTTCCATGCATATTGAATAATATTAGCAGCATGATATTTCTGTTCCTTGGCCAGTGCGATTTTCAGGACGAAATGGTGGATGTATTTTTCCCACCGACTGAGTAGTAGCTTTTGTGAGAGAATGGCAATCAAAAAAGAACTGGCCATCACACCAAGACCAGACGTCACAGTAGCCACAGCTAATGATAATGAAAGATAAAGTTGATTGAGTTTATCGCTTTTCTCCTTCAGAACAATATGAATAAGTGAAAATAAGAAAACCTAATCTAAAGTTTCTTCTCGACAATCGACGAATATAGATTTTAGTAAGGATTATCTTCTATGATCTCAGTTTCTCAAAGGAACCATCAATCATCAAGAAGAAACATCGTTTTTTTTGTTGTGTTGAATTCAATATTAACATCTAGAAATGTAAGATGCGCCATCGACGATTCTTTGTTCAGTTGTGTGCTATCGGCGGCGTCGCTTACAGCTCTATTGATATCAAAAGAGTTTTCTCGTATCTTACATTTAGTTGAAATAAGATAGTGTTAGACAAAAATTCATCCTACTTGGTAACCTTTAGCCTACCTCGTCCGCAGTATGTGTTGGGTATTATATCGCCATATCCTAGAGAAAATGGAGTGATATGCTTCTTTTCCAGACAGGCATATTTACAACTTACCAACAGTAGTAAACAAGGTCATAAATAGCCACGTTGCATTCATCATGGGTAAATGTTGATGAGTGTTCGTATACGTACATGCTCGCATTGACCAACTTCCAACGGAAAATACTACCATAAAAAAGATTATCAAGCAAAATGTGGGTGATTGTTCGACATAAGTTTTAATGATAAAGAAAAAATTGATCGGAACTTTATTCAAATAGCCGAGTGATCGCGATGAGCAATCTCGAAGAAAACGTGAATGGAAGGTAGCTGCACGACACAATAAATATATTCGAGCAAACACTGTCAATATATCCAAATAAGATAATATATGTTTTAGACAGAAGTTCTCTACTTACTAGGCAATCCAAGTGCAACATCCACGGATATAAAAGTTAACGGGATAGAGGTTGACACAGGCGTAGTCGAGTTGACATAGTTTATTATCGGTATGAGATCACCGCGAATATCAAATCCACGAGGAAATGGATGAATCGCACAGATCAATATTTCCACGAAAATTTGAACGATTCTTCTACGAGTTAATGCCACATACCAATACCGAATTGAATTATTCACACAATAAAGCATCATGTCTAAATAATGATAATAAATAATAAGAACAATCAGAACAATCGTGGATATGGTAATAATGAATTTGATCAACCAACTGGCATACGTTTCATAATGATCCACCGAATTAAAGATTAGTTCATTTTCAAACACCATGAAAACAATGCCGAACACTGCAACAAGACACATAATATCGTTCACCAGAAAGCTACAACTCACAAAACGTCTAAAATGTGAAGTAATAGCAGATAACTCACCATTTTTCTTGTAAGTGTTTGCGCTTGGTTAAACGATAACTAATCTCTGCTAACGTGTCACTTTCATCAGATTGTCTCGATTTCTGACGACATTTTTCTTGTAGAACAGTTCCATTATTCTTTATTAATGGTTGACCAGACAGAGGATTCAAAGGAATCATCGTTGACAGCAACGTTATTGTCTCGTGGGATTCAGTAGAGTTCGTTCCTGTTTTTGAATTGTTGGTAACTAGTGCTGCATGATAACTGTTGCTTGAAGCCATGTATTGATAAAAATATTGAATAGGTGTTGTATTCTTCTGCGTTTTATTTTACAGTTACAATCTAAAAGATATCAATAGAAATTATTTTCTGATTTAGTACAATTATCGATTCAGGTAATCCTTAACAATGTGAATAAATGCTTTATCAGTTATTTGCTATTCTCATAATAGGATGCATATTCACGAATTCTACATTCAATACCAAAATAAAAATGAAAATATTTTATGATATGCTGGAAATATTACCATGTTACATGTNACATAATTGATGTAATTCAAATGATCCAACATCAACAGCTGCTTGTTTTTCAATTAATTGTCCTGTTAAAGATAAAACTTTTTGAATATGATTTTCAAGTGTACGAATATGTTCAAGTACAGGTTGATATAATGTTGTATGAGCTAAACGAAATGATGTTGATGAATTAATTGATATGAGAGTTTTTTGTTCAAATTTTGGTGCTGATTGTGGAGAATAAGTCATGAAAATTGTTAAAGGTATATCAAGATCATTTTGTAATTTTTGTTCTTTACGTAATTATCTTGTTGTCAAAGAATGAGATGGTTGAGAATCAATACCAGTGTTAACATGAGCAAGACTTGCTCGACGCATTTGCCATCTAAAAATGATTAAACATTTTTATATTAAGAAATATTTTCAATTAATTACTTTTCTTCTTGAGCAAAATGTAATTTTGATTCAGCTTCAAGTATTGTTGTACATCGATGAACAAAACGAATATCAGCACTAATTCGACGTAAAGATTTTGATATGCCATCATAACGATCTTTGACTTGTATAAATGATCGTTTCCAAAAATTTGGTTTACTTAATGCTTCGTTAAGGAAAGCTGGAAAACTATCTGCAATACGTTCGGTTTCTGCTAGAGTTTTCATTAAATTAAATGGTGCCTTATTTGATGGCATATTTTCTTGCCGTGTTATTGATGGATCAATAAATATACAAAAATTATCACTTGATGATTTTAATGCAGTAGATACATTTTTAATCATAACTGATACCTAAATATGATGAATGAAAGATTGATTTCGTTTTTATTTTTTTGGTTTAAATAACATAAAAGAATGATTACCTTTTTTTTTAATTAATGCACGAGCTGTTATTGGTAGAAGAAGATTAGAAATAATAACATGTATAAATATTTCTAAAAATGTTAAACTTGTTCGAGCTAAAACAGCTTGATTTGATGTATTCATTTGTCCTGCTCGATTAGAAAGAAATGTTATAATTGATGCTGATTGTACACAGACAGCAGCAAAATATTCTCTTTGTGGATCTGTTTTGAGATATTCCATTAGTTCAACAAATAAAAATATACATATTCCAACAGCAATATGATTTTGTGTGACAAGTACAATAACATATGCATATGTTGAACCAAGTAAGACGGCCATTAAACGATGAAATGATAAACGAAGTGTACCACCTTCAGATGACTCAGAAACAAGTGCTGTTGTCATCGGTGCCCAATGAACCCAATTATATGCTTGTAAACGTTCACGAAATGAAATAACAACAATAGCAGACACAAGTACACTTAAACTTGTTTTTATTGAACGTACTAATTTACCGAATGATGATCTTTTGCCAATATAAGCAGCAAGATCATCAAACGGTTTTTTTCAGTTAAATGGTTCTTTCAATTTGCGTACATTTGTTGTTGAATCTAGATCAGTATCAAAATGAGCGCCGGGAGTTTTACTTTTTTCAGCAGCAGTTATAGTTGCATGAACAAGACGTAAAATAAGTAGAAGAAATGTATTTAAATGAATTGCATCTGTATTTGATAGTGTTGAATGACGAGGAATTTCACGTACTTGTGTATATGTCTCAAAAAAATCTTCAAGTGATTCTTCAACTTGTGTTCGACAAGTAATTATTTGTGCTTTATTAAAATAACTCGTTGATGCTGTTGTATATGGAAGTGTTGAATCCAAAAAATTAAATGTTGAATCGAGGAGAAGACATATTATCTGCAAAAAAACAAAAAAAACTCAAATTTATATTGAAAAGTCTATTCATACTTAATAATTTTTTTTCCTTAGACTTGAGTTTTAAATGCTAATAAGTTTTATACACAGAAAAAAATTCTGAAGTAAACTTTATTCAGTGATATGAAATTGATTTATCATGTACAATTACAGAAAAAAATGCTCAACCATTTTCGTGTTTACTATTTAAAAAAAACCTTACATTAATCAATTGTCGTTAAGCAACAAATCCACGATGATGTTGTTCTAATGTTAACAATTCAGTAATTTGTCGTTGTATAGAAGTAAAACTTGTTGTCCATACTGATAATCGTGTTTCTAGTGTTGAATCTGTTTTTATGAATTTTTTTAAAAATGGAATATGTCGTAAGAACCTTCTTATTCGATTAAGCAATTTCAATAATATAAAATATGGTTCATATGAAATTTCAGTTAAAGCACGTTGCATTCGTTTTACTTCATCATTAACTAATGAAAGTAAATCTTGTATATCACTTTTAAGTAAATGATAGTCTTTCAAATTTTCAAGTGATGTTGAATGTTGATAGAAATCATCTTCACGATAAGAATTTGGTGGCATTTCAATACCATTATCATTATCATCTGAAGCATTCGTTTTTTCCTTGTTTTGATTAGTTTGATAATCATATTCGTCACTTAAATGTACATTATGATATTCTGATATAAGTAAAACAATTGCTGTTATTTCACGTCTTGTTTGTCGAGCTATAAATCTCATACGCATTGCTAATTTGCGATAAGCAGTTGATATAGTTGGTAATGAAATACATGTAACAATAATAGCTAATGTAGCACCAATTGTTAATGATGCCCAAATTTGAAGTACAAAAAAAGTATTTATATGTGGTTTAGTAAACCATTGTAAAAGTATAATACATGTTGGTATAATCGTAAAACGACGAACAGTTATTGGTAAATCAGTATAAACAATAAGAAGAACAAGAACATTTGTTGCACCAATACCATAATAAACATAACGTGGACAAAAATTAATAATGAAAAGACAATACGTAGTAGAAATAGCACCAGCAAGAAATAAACGAATAGATTTTTGAATTGTTGAACCAAGTGTACTTTTTATTGCAACTATGAAACTAATACCAAATAGAAGTTGACCTTGTATTGAATGAGATGTTACAGGTGAAAGAGTAAATCCGGCAACACCCTATGTTTAAAAATAGTTTTTCATCTATGACGAATTTTTTTATTATTTACCTACAGCAATTCCTATAAGAGTACGAAGGGCAATTATTATTTGAGCTGAAAATGCTGATAATAATGGATGCCAACATGTGAACCGTGGTGATCGTATAGTATGCTGTTTCGATGGTGTCATTGTGATATTAGTTGAACATGTCAGATTACGATCTAAAATATATAGAACATTATTAAAATAAGACTTGCTAAGATTATCAATATGATACAATGCCTTAGTAAATATGGTTGATTATATAATACTTATGATTTGTTCCTTTTTATTGTTCTGTTTCTTTTTTTTTCTCGTCTTAATTCAAACGAACCGGTTTGTATTATTCATGTTATCTAGATTAATTTTTCCTTTGCAAAATGTCATGTGATTTAACGTAGAATGAAATAAAAATTTGTGCAGCTGGAGAAACCGAAGGATAAAACGTGAAACGTAAGATATCAAAGTTTATCTTTTCTTGGCAATGTCTTGCTATAGTGCTTTTTATTTCGCTTATTTTACAATATAATAATATTCAGTTGCATCTAGTATTTTTTTTTATGGTGGCAATATTTCGTTTTATTTCGTATTCAAATATTCATCTCAGATAATCAGTGATATAATGAAAACAAAAGATTAATGCCTGAGTGAACCGACAAACACGGTTTTGCTAAACCAGCTTTTGATAAACTAAGCAGTAAAATATTTCAAGAATTATGCACTTATACATTCTTTCCTTTTTTGTTTTGTTTATTCTACTATCGGATTGACAAGGACTTCTTAAGCCCAAGCGATAAATTTTGTTTAGATTATATAACATTTCACTGACAGATAGAAAGATAATTTCAGTCACGTTTTTGCAACACACAAGTACAAAAAAAGATTAACACTATTATCAGTTTTTTTAAATACCAACCGCCATTTTTTGAATAACTTTTAATCTTTTCAAGCTATCGAGTTCGACCTTTCATCACCATTAGATAAATATTTTTTGTTAGTTTTCATAGAGACCTATCCTTAAATTACACCTAAATATAGCCTGAAGAGTCCTGCATTCGCGTCAAAATCTCAAAAGTTTACAGGATTATCGTATTCGAGACAATGGTAGAAGTAATTGAAAATTTTATCACGGATATAGGATCCTCCAGACTACATTTTGGTGTAATTTGAGACTAGGTGTCTATGAAAACTAACGAAAAAGATATCAGTTAGAGATCGACAATAACAAAAAAAACTCCTTTGTTCCTAATGAATCTCATAGAGATAGACGTTCTAAGGTTGCTCTACCTAATGATAAAAGATCGAACTTGATACCTTGAAAGGATCAAAAGTTATTCCAAAAAATAACCAACAACAGATATTTTTCTCTCACTTGCTAATTCAAAGTAATCAGTAGAATTTATTAGAAACATATTTTTGATCAGTAGTAAGAGAAAATAGAAAGTTCTACATACATTTATTTAAAACTGAAACACATGCGAGCGAGAACAAATTACTACTATTCCAAGTGCTAAACAGGCTGACTTAGGTAATAATGCAACGGAAAGGGCAGATAAAATGAATTAGAATCAATTTCTTTTTAGTTATTTGGTAGAAAATCTTGATTTCTGTTTTGATGAATAGATTCATTCACAATATAATGTAGCGCAAGCACAGTAAACATTGCAATAGATTAGCGGAATGACTAGGGAACAGTTCGATACTAGTGGAGATGCGGATAATGTTTATAAGCAATTACAGAATGGACACAAACTTTGCTAGGATGAGTTTATTTGCTGGGTTGTGAATCGTGCGTATCTTAGAGAGAGTCAAGAGAAAAAAAAATCTATCTATGTAATATTTGAAATATGAACTGATGTCCTGTCATGTTCGGGACTCATGTTCAACTGTCATGCAGAAAAAATATCCTCTCAAAACGAGTAGAATTCACAACCCAGTAGTTTTATTTTTCTTTGCTAGATCAATAAACGCTATTCTACCAAATTCTATTCCAAAAATTAATAGTGGCAAATAAATGCAACACTTTTTGATTTCTTTTAAATTATTTTAGGTGAAAATAGTTTTAAACTGACGTAAAATATATCACATTTTGCTCAAACTACTAGAGTTTATGGATTGTCTGATTCAGAAACATTTTAAATAGTTGATCTATATGAAAAAATGAATGAACTTTCTCACCGTAAACATTAATTCAAGGTAATACAGTAATCAGCACTCAATATGTTTACAATAAAAGAGCAACACAATCTGGTATCGTCTTCGCAAATACACGTCATATGAATCTATTCGGATATCTCCTTGTTACATTGCGCACATGTTGTGACGCTCTCTGTCTGATAAGCAAAATATGCATGGTTTCAATCACTTTTTTCTGCTATGTGATTTGAATTAGGGCGTGAGTGATACGCTACAAAGCACCAGTTTCTACGAATCTCACAAGAGTTTCTAGACTAGGGGTCGCATTTTAACTTTACCTTACAAGTTAAAGTTAAAGTGGCACTTAAACTTTAAACTTAAAGTTAAACTAAAACACTTTAAAACTTTAAACTTTCATTAAAGTGAAACACTTTAAAACTTTAACTTTAAAAAAAAAGTTAAAGTTAGAGTGCTTGTGCCATAGGAAAGAAACGACCATGCCCAGTTCTTGGGTCCTCGTCTAGCTACCCCAACGGGGGTACTGGGGTCCTCATATGACTATCATACGAGGGGTACTTGAGTTCTTATATGGTTATCCTATGATAGATACTTGGGTTCTCATATGGCTATCGTAGTGGGGATACTTGGGTCCTCAAGAGCTATACTATAGCGATACCCTTAGGTCCTCAAGTGCTATACTATAGGGGTATCCTTAGGTCCTCAAGGCCTGTACTACAAGGGTACCATTGAGTCCTCAAGAACTCTACTATGAAGGCATCCTTAGGTCCTCAGACCTATACTATAGTGTTTGGTATAGGGATGCAACGGTGACCGGTGAAACTGCGATAACCGTACCTACGGTTATCGGTTCAAGCCGGTTTTCATGGAAGAAAGGATTTTTTAAGAAAATAACGATTTTTTATAAAGGTTGACGAAAGTAAATCGAGGTCGGGGAATCCGAATCTGGAATCAGTTTTTCGAAATTTTGAATTTTATTTTTTCGGTCACGGAGAAGATTTTTTAACAAAATAATGACTATTTATAAAGGTTGACGGAAGTGAATCGAGGTCGAAGAATCCGAATCTGAAATCAGTTTTTTGAAATTTTAAGTTCCATTTTCAACATAAAACGTTTTCTTTAGGAAAACAATCATTTCTCAATGGAAAACAACTTTCTAGGAAAAGTACGACTTTGAGAAGGAGATATTTTTTGCTAGGAAATCGAAACTCAAAATTTCGAAAAATTGATTCCAGATTCGGATTCTTCGACCTCGATTTACTTTCGTCAACCTTTATAAAAAATCGTTATTTTCTTAAAAAATCTTTCCTTTCATGAAAACCGGGCTTGAACCGGTAACCGTAGTTACGGTTATCATAGTTGGACCGGTAACCGTACCTACGGTTATCGTCACTGTTGCATTTCTACTTTGGTATAGGCCTTGAGGGCCTAAGGCTACCCCCATAGTAGAGGCCTGGAGGACAAGGGGGAAAAAGCGGATTCCGTCTATCCCGGATACGGTCGGGATACAGAGGATACGGAGGATACATCGGGGATACAGAGGATACATCGGGGATACAGAGGATACATCGGGGATACGGAGGATACAATGGGGATACATAGGATACCTCTGAGATTAAGAAGACACAGTTTGATACTAAGCAGAAAATTAATAAAATATGGGTTGTATATCANGTTGTTCATCATATGAATCTTCACGACATAATTGATGTAATTCAAATGATCCAACATCAACAGCTGCTTGTTTTTCAATTAATTGTCCTGATAAAGATAAAACTTTTTGAATATGATTTTCAAGTGTACGAATATGTTCAAGTACAGGTTGATATAATGTTGTATGAGCTAAACGAAATGATGTTGATGAATTAATTGATATGAGAGTTTTTTGTTCAAATCTTGGTGCTGATTGTGGAGAATAAGTCATAAAAATTGTTAAAGGTATATCAAGATCATTTTGTAATTTTTTTTCTTTACGTAATTCTCTTGTTGTCAAAGAATGAGATGGTTGAGAATCAATACCAGTATTAACATGAGCAAGACTTGCTCGACGCATTTGCCATCTAAAAATGATTAAACATTTTTATATTAAGAAATATTTTCAATTAATTACTTTGCTTCTTGAGCAAAATGTAATTTTGATTCAGCTTCAAGTATTGTTGTACATCGATGAACAAAACGAATATCAGCACTAATTCGACGTAAAGATTTCGATATGCCATCATAACGATCTTTGACTTGTATAAATGGTCGTTTCCAAAAATTTGGTTCACTTAATGCTTCGTTAAGTAAAGCTGGAAAACTATCTGCAATACGTTCGGTTTCTGCTAGAGTTTTCATTAGATTAAATGGTACTTTATTTGATGCTATATTCTCTTGCTGTGTTATTGATGGATCAATAAACATACAAAAATTATCACTTGATGATTTTAATGCAGTAGATACATTTTTAATCATAACTGATACCTAAATATGATGAATGAAAGATTGATTTCGTTTTTGTTTTTTGGTTTAAATAACATAAAAGAATGATTACCTTTTTTTTAATTAATGCACGAGCTGTTATTGGAAGAAGAAGATTAGAAATAATAACATGTATAAATATTCCTAAAAATGTTAAACTTGTACGAGCTAAAACAGCTTGATTTGATGCATTCATTTGTCCTGTTCGATTAGAAAGAAATGTTATAATTGACGCTGATTGTGCACAGACAGTAGCAAAATATTCTCTTCGTGGATCTGTTTTAAGATATCCCATTAGTCCAACAAATAAAGAAATACATATTCCAACAGCAATATGATTTTGTGTGACAAGTACAATAACATATGCATAAGTTGAACCAAGTAAGACGGCCATTAAACGATGAAATGATAGACGAAGTGTACCACCTTCAGATGATTCAGAAACAAGTGCTGTTGTCATCGGTGCCCAATGAACCCAATCATATGCTTGTAAACGTTCACGAAATGAAATAACAACAATAGCAGACACAAGTACACTTAAACTTGTTTTTATTGAACGTACTAATTTGCCAAATGATGGTCTTAGGCCAATATAAGCAGCAAGATCATCAAAAGGTTTTTTCCAGTTAAATGATTTTTTCGTTTTAGGTACATTTGCTGTTGAATCTAGATCAGTATCAAAATGAGTACCGGGAGTTTTACTTTTTTCAGCAGCAGTTATAGTTGCATGTACAAGACGTAAAATAAGTAGAAGAAATGTATTTAAACGAATTGCATCTGTATATGACATTGTTGAATGACGAGGAGTTTCACGTACTTGTGTATATGTCTCAAAAAAATCTTCAAGTGATTCTTCAATTTGCGTTCGACAAGCAATTATTTGTGCTTTATTAAAATAACTCGTTGATGCTGTTGTATATGGAAGTGTTGCATCCAAAAAATTAAATGTTGAATCGAGAAGAAGACATATTGCCTGCAAAAAAAACAAAAAACTCAAATTTATATTGAAAAGTCTACTCATACTTATTAATATTTTTTTTTACTCAGTGATACGAAATTGATTTATCATGTACAATTACAGCAAAAAAGACTCAACCATTTCCATGTTTACTGTTTAAAAAAAAACTTACATTAATCAATTGTTGTTGACCAACAAATGCACGATGATGTTGCTCTAATGTTAACAATTCAGTAATTTGTCGTTGTATAGAAGCAAAACTTGTCGTCCATACTGATAAACGTGTTTCTAGTGTTGAATCTCTTTTGATGAATTTTTTTAAAAATGGAATATGTCGTAAGAATTTTCTTATTCGATTAAGCAATTTCAATAATATAAAATATGGTTCATATGAAATTTCAGTTAAAGCACGTTGCATTTGTTTTACTTCATCACTAACTAATGAAAGTAAATCTTGTATATCACTTTTAAGTAAATGATCATCTTTCAAATTTTCAAGTGATGTTGAATGTTGATAAAAATCATCTTGACGATAAGAATTCGATGGCATTTCAATACCATTATCATTATCATCTGAAACATTCGTTTTTTCCTTGTTTTTATTAGTTTGATAATCATATTCATCACTTAAATGTACATTATGATATTCTGATATAAGTAAAACAATTGCTGTTATTTCACGTCTTGTTTGTCGAGCTATAAATCTCATACGCATCGTTAATTCACGATAAGCAGTTGGTATAGTTGGTAATGGAATACATGTAACAATAATAGCTAATGCAGCACCAATTGTTAAAGATGTCCAAATTTGAAGTACAAAAAACGTATTTATATGTGGTTTAGTAAACCATTGTAAAAGTATAATACATGTTGGTATAATCGTAAAACGCCGAACGGTAATTGGCAAATCAGTATAAACAATAAGAAGAACAAGAACATTTGTTGCACCAATACCATAATAAGCATTACGTGGACAAAAATTAATAATGAAAAGACAATACGCAGTAGAAATAGCACCAGCAAGAAATAAACGAATAGCTGTTTGAATTGTTGCACCAAGTGTACTTTTTATTGCAACTATGAAACTAATGCCAAATAGAAGTTGACCTTGTATTGAATGCGATGTTACAGGTGAAAGAGTAAATCCAGCAACACCCTATGTTTACAATTAGCTTTTCATCTATGATGAAATTTTTTATTATTTACTTACAGCAATTCCTATAAGAGTACGAAGAGCAATTATTATTCGAGCTGAAAATGCAGGTAATAATGGATGCCAACATGTGAACCGTGGTGATCGTATATTATGCTGTTTCGATGGTGTCATTGTGATATTAGTTGAGCATGTGAGATTATGATCTAAAATATATAGAACATAATTAAAATAAGACTTGATAAAATTATCAATATGATACAATATTTTAGTAAATATGATTGCTTATATAATACTTATGATTTGTTCGTTTTTATTGTTCTGCTTCTTTTTTTTCTCGCCTTAATTCAAACGAACCGGTTTATATTATTCATGTTATCTAGATTCATTGTTCCTTTGCAAAAGGTCATATGATGTAACGTAGAATGAAATAAAAATTTGCGCAGCTGGAGAAATCGAAGGATAAAATGTGAAACGCAAGGCATCAAAGTTTATCTTTTCTTGGCAATGCCTTGTTGTAGTGCTTTTTATTTCTCTTATTTTACAATATAATAATATTCAATCACACCGAATATTTTTTTGTTGTATGATTGAGTTAAGCGACAAACACGGTTTTGTTAAACCAGCTTTTGATAAACTAAGTAGTAAAATATTTCAAGAATTATGCACTTATACATTCTTTCCTATTTTTTTTTGTTTATTCTACTATCCAATTGACAAGGACTTCTTAACCCAAGCGGTAAATTTTGTTTAGATTATATAACATTCACTGACAGATAGAAAGATAATTTCAATCACATTTTTGCAACACACAAGGACAAAAGAAGATTAATACTATTATCGGTTTTTTTAAATGCCAATCGCCATTTTTTTTGAATAACTTTTGATCTTTTCAAGCTATTGAGTTCGACCTTTCATCATTAGATAAATATTTTTTGTTAGTTTTCATAGAGATCTATCCTTAAATTACACCTAAATATAGCCTGAAGAGTCCCGCATTCACATGAAAATCTCAAAATTTTACAGAATTATCGTATTCGAGACAATGACAGAAGTAGTTGACAATTTTATCACGGATATAGGATCATTCAGACTACATTTTGGCGTAATTTGAGGCTAGGTATTTATGAAAACTAACAAAAAATATATCAGTTAGAGATCTATCATAAAAAAGACCTTTGTTTCTAATGAGTCTCATAGAGATAGACGCTCTAAAGTTGTTCTATCTAATGATAAAAGGTCGAAATCAATACCTTGAAAAGATCAAAAGTTATTCCAAAAAAATGGTTGTTGGTATTTTCAAAGAAACGACAACAGATAATTTTCTTTCACTTGCGTATTCAAAGTAATCAGTAGAACTTATAACAAAAATATTTTTGGCGAGTAGTAAGAGAAAATAGAAAGCTCTACATACATTTATTTAAAACTGAAACACATTCGAGCGATAAAAAATGACTACTACTCCAGGAAACTAAAAAAGCTGAATTAGGTAATGATGCAACGGAAAGGGCAGTTAAAATGAATTAGAATCAATTTCTTTTTAGTTATTTGGTAGGAAATCTTGATCTCTGTTTTGATGAATAGATTCAATCACAATATAATGCAGCTCAAGCACAGTAAGCTTTGCAATAGACTATTGAAGTGATGCGGGAACAGTTCGATACTAATGGAGATATGGATAATATTTATAAACAATTAAAGAACGGATGAAAACTTTGCATGTATGAGTTTTTTTTTGCTGGGCTGTGAATCGTGCGTATCTTACAGAGAGTGAAGAGAAAAAAACCTATCCATGTAATATTTGAAATCTGAACTGGTGTCCCGTCATGTTCAGGACACATGTTCAATTGCCACGCAAATAAAATATCCTCTCAAAACGAGTAAGATTCAAAACCCCAAGAGTAGTCGTTTTCTTTGCTAGATCAATGAACGTTGTGCTACCAAATTCTATTCCAAAAATTAATAGCGGTAAATAAATGCAACACTTTTTGATAATTTTTGATTTTTTTAAAAATTACTTTAGGTGACAATAGTCTTAAATTGACGTAAAATATATCACGTTTTGTTCAAAATACTAGAGTTGATGGATTGTCTGATTCAGAAACATTTCAAATAGGTTGATCTAAACGAAAAAATGAATCTTCATCAATTCATACTTTTGTCTTTTTGCTCTCGGTCGAAAAGTGAACTTTTTTATGAAACTAAAATTTTTTTATTTAGGCTCAAAAACAAGATATACGTGACCTATGCCAGAAAGAAAGTGATAAAAATGAATGAACTTTCTCCCCGTAAACATTAATTCAAGGTAATGTAGTAATCAGTACTCAATATGCTTACAATAAAAGAGCAACACAATTTCGTATTGTCTTCGAAAATACATATCATATGTACTACTTAATCGAAGTTTTGCATCAGCATAAAGACTATTCTATTGTCTTTCTAGTATGAATGCATCAATCTTCTACAGTTGTTCTGCTTGATTATGAACGCAAAAATTAATTTATATCCTCTTTTTTAAGTCTGCATCTCAATAATGATATTTTGTATAGTTATATATTTATTTATTTATAACAAAAAAAAAACATAGATAATACGTTCGACTCACTGAACACATTTATTCTTATACTTACTTTTGTTCATTAGAAAAAAAGATTTTTTTTTACATTGTATCAATAGAAGTTTACTTGAATAAATCTTCAGTTATTAAAGAGACAGCTAACGTATATCTAAATGAACGGAAAGAAAAAATGAAAAGCATAGCAAATAGGAGGTTTCATTTTGATGTGTAATCAATGTCTCATCTCACAATACAATGAGAGTAGACGTCTCATGATGCATATTATCTTAATATTATGCAATAAAAGGGAAGACACATTCAATACAACTTAGTATTTCTTACTATAGATAATGATTGGCAGGCCATGAATCTCAAGGACAATTGTTAAAAATCTATATTCAAACTTTCATTAGTAATAAAAAAAACATATTTACCATTTTTCATAATATTTCGAATGATAATATCATTATCAAGTAGAAATTTCGTTGTACTGATTACGTTTGGAATATATAAAAGCACATGTTTTCTTGTTCATCCCAAACAAAAATCTGATTGAATTGTTTGTAGCTTAAATGTTCTTTTTGGAACTTGAAATATTGTCAGGTCATTCTTTCACTTTGCTATGTTCATCAAATCGAATTTTATCAGAAATCTAAAAATACGAATATCATTTATATGATTAAATCCTTTTTATATCTATAAATTGTCGTATCAGAAGATAATCATGACCAACAAATAATTTTCTATTGAGCACCTCTGTTGTCTATCTACTAAACAAAATCGAACAATTCTTCTTCTTACATCTTTTTTTTTTCAGTTCCATTCTGAAAACATTTTATTATATAATCAAGTGGTGCTGAAATGTTTAAATCTAACTGTTCTAATAAATGGTAGCAATAACGAATCGAGATATAAAATATGTATTACGTCATATTTATCTTTCGATGAGTAACGATTGATTAGCAATTAATTCAAGTAATGACGAGATATCCGAATATCGAAAAGAGATTTCTTTAACCATCAAACAAGATAGTGGGGGTTTTTTCGCGATCAGAAAAAACCGAAAAAAATGTCTAATTTTACTTTTTTCACTAATAGTTTTCTCAACGTTGAATTAGTGGTATTATAAATTAAAACTAGAGAATAAAACAAGAATAAATGTTTTATCGTGCTATCACAAATGAAAACTAGCAAAACGAGCTTGTACAAGAGTTTTGTTTCATGGATTCTTAGTATTCTGAAAGATATGAAAAATCATTTTCAACACACAGTATGAGGAGTATGAAGAAAATGTGTATTGTGATAGGTATGTAACAGTCAAGAGCCGTCGAAGCATCTTGTCACACTAGAAAACGTCAATCAATTATAGATTAATGTATGAGAAACACATTGCAAATGCATCTATAAATCAAAATCTAAATAACGAATACTATTTGATTGATAGACCCTGTTTAGGGTGGATGCGCGTGTACACTTTCTTTTCATTCACATGCCCCACCCCACACCCTGAACCGAAGAATTTGATTAAGACAAACAACAATTTGCTGAATCAGTTGAAGAAGATTTTGTTACTCTTTCTGATACAAGATCAAATTAAACAGAAATGATAACATTTGTTTGATTTTGTTTAGTCTCTTTGTTTTAGCGTACATGTTTATATCAAGTTAATCTCTAAAAATAAATATGTCCTAAATCTTTCTTTTCCTCAGTTGTGATAGAACGCTAATCACATGGATAATGGCTTCAACAACACGATATTGGTCATCATCCTACTTCATCATTGATTTATTTTTGAAAAGTTCTTGCAGTCAATCGAATCGACATGTTTTTTCAAAAACCGTTCAATCTACTATCTTGCTTAAATGCTTTAGTCAAGTGAGAAAAAGTTCTTTGTCAATAAGTTGCATTTCATAGTATCCTATTTTTGAAAATAGAAACATTCACGGATATCTTCTTACTATATAGTCGTTTTGTTTTGATTCTCTGCTCTTATCAGTCGGTTAATACAAAGATAACTAGTCTAAACAAGCGAGTATTTTCTCGTCAATATACTGCTACTGTAACAGAAATATGCATATTATCTTTGTTATCACCTGTTTTTCAGTAATATTTTTACGGTCAAATGTTCAGGCTGATGAGAATATCATTGTTCATAACACCTATGACGACGTATTTGGTTATCAAACAGATATGGCTCGAATGCTCAATCATTGGCCGGTGAATTGAGGTTGGTAATTGTCTAAAAAAAATTTCTAATCAGTATCTCATATTCGACTTGTTTACAACCTTTCGATAAGGTGTATTCACCACTTTGTCCAACTGATGTCCATACAATTTCCGCAATTTCAGTTAGCCCTACTATTTTTTTTTATTCTCTCGTGCATGACCAGCTCTCCAAAGATTATCTCTACACTAATGTCTTCACACCGTTATTTAACCGTTCCTCATCGATATCTCGACTACTGGTGATGACTGTTCTTCCTGATGAAGCTTTTGAATATTGCGATGCTTCAATACTAGCAATGTCGCCTTGCCTTTTTGAACTTTCTTACCACTGGAATCGACTCAAAAGATTCGCACGGCAATTATGATATTCTTGATCAAGAACTTGATATTG